AACATTTATAAACCGCATGCGCACAACGCACAAAAAGATATTTACATTATGTACAAATGAAAGGAACATAATCTAAATACTAGTCGCAGAACATTATATGAACCATTGGCGGATGACTGTTTAAAAGTTGGATCTACTGTCAACGGTGAAATGATGAAACATAACCTGTTGTTAGTTTCATTGCATTGATCCCAGAAATAAATTGAAAGCAATCTACAAGACGTATTACCTTCAAGTTGGTGATGGTTAACTCAAGACTACAAAACCATTTGTCATCTTATGAAGTCTTTCGTTGAGCTTATTCGATGAAATGACGAAGCGTGGTCTGTTGTTAGTTTCTTTCTTTCTGTTTGTTTGTTTGTTTGTTTATTAAGGAATCTCCATTAGTGATAATATGTACATCACTACTCTTCCTGGAGTCCTATACAACATAAAAATACAACTATTATTTACATTTATATTACTTCAATTGCTATTATGCTTCAGAAAAACTTATCTTAACAACAATTTTTAACATCAATCATTACATCAATCATTACAACAATGTTACACTATACAACCATCCATCAATAATGTTACACTATACAATTAACCAAAAACAATTTTATAATAGATGTCTGAGAGGTCAGAGGTCAAGAGATTGTGCATAATATATTTAAAAACATTTACCACCAGGAGTTAATTGGTGTGTGTTTGTTTTTATGTGTTCTGTGGCTAGAAACTATGGCGGAAATGGAAAGCAATCGAAAGAAAGTTTTTTAATGATGGAAAACATCAGGCTCCAAAAATTGCAAAACCTCTCGTTAAGTTTCAAGGATCAAAGATAAATAGAAATATCATAGTCGTATGCTTCTAATTCTATTCCAGATACCTCAGGGTGCCAGAAAGTCTGTTAGCACCATAGGATATGTGGTGTACTTTTTACGGGAAAATCTAAGTATACACCATGAAATATAGATGACCGGATAAGTGCAATGGGGTTCAGTTAAGGACAGAGGCATATTTTAATAAATTAAACTGCGTAATGGAAATCCAGAAAATCCTCTCACACTAATTACAACCAGATAGAAAACAAAAGTTTTCAAAATGAACATCTTTCAGTAACGCAGATCCCCATTTGTGCATCCAAGTGTGATATTTTGTAATGAATCGCCTGCATTAGGGTTTAACGCTGGCGGGTTTTCATGGCATGATGGAAATCTGAGTGGGCCTCAGGATCGGGAGTAAATCATTCACAGTCTGCTGCACCTTAATCAGTTCTGTGATGATGCGGCGTAACTCTCCACCGGAACTACAATACAAGCAGGGCATCAGCGGAATGGGAAAGTCAGGGTGTTCTTAATAAGGGACTTTGGCGGTTTTAGGGGTGCTTAAAGAAACACCTTTGAAGATTCGTTTGTAAGTAGTTAATTTCGGAACGGGCTTGCATGTAAGAATGCGCATAATGTTAATGTCAGAATCAATCAACAAATGTATTAGTTACCCGTTTTAAATCAGTTTTTGTACTTTTTAAAAACTCTAGCAGTTTAAGGGTTAAGTGTTGGTATTTGGAAAAACACACTAAATGAGTTCAATCCTGACGTTCAAGCAGCTGGCTAAAATTCAATCAATCCCACATAGACTTTTTTAAGTTTCCTACACAAAGACCTAAAAGAAGATACATTGTCATGAATGAAAATTGCTTTATCATAAAACAAGTCATAAGTAGAGGGAGAAGATTAAAAAGTTCCGTATGAATTTCAGAACAAGTAAAGTTATAACAATCATATTGTTGCGGGTGATCTTCAATATACGGTTCATTTGACACAATGCCAAAATGCTAATATTGAATTGCACTCTTTCACATCATCACCAAACGCGTCCCAGTAAAATTGCTGTGTCATATGTCCTCTGTTCGCATGAGGGGTTATGTCTAGGATTCAGTATCATGATTTCATACTAATGGCCTATTGATCATTTCAGCCCCCCATCTCAAAATCACTCGCTGGTGATAGCGCTACAGAGTGCTGCATGTACATTGAGGCATAACGGCAAGATTATCAAAGGTATCCGATGACATTTCAGGGCAGAAAAACAACAAAGCTATTCTACACGAGGAGATCTATCTGATATTGACGTTTAATGCAATTTCTTGGCACATTTTCGTCATCATCTCATACTTAAAGTGTTTCAAGTAGCCCAAAAATAATCTACGCGAGGAGTCAATTTATTTTTTGGTACCACCAATAATCATCTAACCACCAATAAATAGCTAAAACCAACCTGCCTGTGATACGAAACAAACAATTGTTTTCCATCGGCAACATTGTATTTTTGCCCCACAGATATCTTAATGCTACATCACGGTTAATTCAACTTACTAAACAAAAAAAGTGGCCAGAAAATTAACTTTGAAAATCCTGTTTTTCTGCTCTGAAATCGCTCTGGGAAAGAGCAAGCCAGTGTCATGAACGAGCTTATAATATCTGGCCGATAACCTCATGTAGAAATGCTATACTAGAGTATCGGAATATTCTGCAAGGGACAGAATGTTCTAATCTCCAAGCGGATCTTTCGGTGACAAGACAGTATCCATTGGCCAGAGGAGTGTCCATCTTCGGTTGGCTAATGGATACAGGACGGCCAATGGATACAGGACACGGCCAATGGATACAGGATGGCCAATGGATACTGTCTTTTGCCACCCAACCGAAAGATCTGCCTGGAGATTAAGAATGTTCATGAAACGTGACGAAACACCAAAGTCCCAGCTGGTAGAAAGGAGACAGGCCCGTCAGCACTCCAGAAACAATTACATATATCGGGCACTCTGTATGCATTTAATGGCCTGTTAGACTTAGTGCGCCAAGCACTCTCTTCATTGTTAATTGACTCACGTCTGCAGTACTTAACGCATACGGAATCAAACCCTGTCTTCACTCGCATTACAGTGTATATTCTCACGCGAACTATTATGTTACGGCGTTGATAAGTGGTTTTAATTACGTTTATAGCTGCATCATTCTTGTAAGTCATATAAAAACGAAGAGCCAAGTAAAAGCCTCTTATGTGTCTTGATTCAAGAAGCCATTTCCCTGTAACTGTATTTTAGTAATAAGTAAATGTTATATGAATGGAGCATGATACTATACTTCATTCGATACCTTTCAAACAATATACATCTTTGTAGGTTGTTTCAACTTGTGCTTTGGAACTGCTTATAACCATATGCATCTGTGAATGCACAAATTTATGTTTGTACATATATGAATAAATACATACTCGATTACTATCTCAATCCAATATTCTATGGTTGGGAATAGGTCGGGAGCACGGTTGGCTACTGTTACTGTAGCTGAATTTTTCGACCTGGCAATGTGATAAACTTCTTATACAGGGTAGTGGCAATGCTTTTGTAACCTTTCAGATTCCACAACCTTTGGAGAAAGCCTTAGCTAAAAGGTTACCGAAACGTCGCTAGATAAAATCAATTTTACTGTGTAGCTAAGAGCCTATAGGCTCCTGGTAAAGATGACCTGTGAGCATGTGTCAGTGCTTCGTGCCAGCTGTAATCAAGACACATGATCAAGCTGGCATTTTGGACACATGTTTGATTCTGGATCTAGATATATGGAGCGGACTAATAATCAGGCTAGCCGAGCCGAGGATTTTTACTTCACAGTCACCCCTAAGACAGCTACCTTCCAAGCAGGATTAGTCTTTGACTCATTTTTGACGCAAGTGCCACAGCCTTGCCGATTTGATACTGGCTTGGGGCCATCAAAAGATTTGCTTGGACACTAAAAGACAGCCAGGACCACATGGCCCCCGCTCAGAACTTTTGTTGAACTTTACACACACATCAGCTTAGCCAACGTAGCCCAAAATTTCTTCAGTGGTTTAGGCTCAAAGGAGCACAGAGCACATGGTTTAAATCTGTAGATGACCAAAAACCACAAATTTGATTGTATCTGCGAAAGCTGCACCATACTGTTGTATTTGAGTTCTTTTCATTCCAAACAAATCCCGAACAAATCCTGGTCGTGTGGCGTAGCGGCAGAGTGCGCGACTCGGAACTTAGAGTCCCGGGTTCGAGTCCTGACATGCCACCGATCTTGTGCCCTTGGGAAAGGCACTTTACACGACTTTCCTCACTCATCTCAGGTGTAAATGAGTATTGTCCTGTCATGTATTTGTCCCCTGTGTTGGTGGCGTCATTAATGTAAGTTGCCAAAAAACTTGAGTGTGCCGTCACCACGTCTGGTGATTACATGTTGGAATAAAAAAAAATCCCAAACAGTTTACAACATGAAGTACAAACATTACCCGTGTTTACAATCTGACTAATGACCAAGTAGTTCGTAAATTCCCAATAGATTTCACAATAGGAAACACTAAAGGGAGAAGATTACTACATGACTACATGTTACAGGACGCAACTGTCCTAGATGATCAACCAACTAAAGCTGATAATGTTCCTTGAGACTGCTTCCTGGGTGAGAAATGTACTCCTAATAAAACTGGACTCGTAAATTTACCTACCTCCGACATAGGCGGCTATAAAGAGAGGAGTGACCTAGTTGCTCATGCAGGTGTGGAGGGATTCACTCATCAAGTTTCCCATAAATAAAACTCCTGTAGGTAGAGAGGCTAGGGATCTTCAATAGGTAGAACGACGTAATTGATTTTCCGCTACATTATTTTTGCTTTAGCTTGGCCTTGTAAGAATGATTGACCCAACATCATCAACTGAATGAAGAACCTTTTGAATTCAGCGTCTCGCATTCATGAACACGAGGTCTACTGTAATGATGTCAAGAAAGATTCCAGGCAATAGGTGTTTGGACAAAAACGTAGAGTCGTTCAAATGGTTTTGGAGCAGAGTCATGCTATTTATTTCAATTAAAGAAACAATAATGGCCTTGTTACAATAAGAGTAAGTGAAGTAAAATGGAAATGAAATCTTGATGGATGATTTACTCATATCGTATCATTGATTATTTTTGCTATATTTTTTCCAGCGCCGCCAACTATAATTACTACAAGTTCTGTACCGGTACAAGTGACAAAGGAGCTACCTCTGCTTCTCGCAAAACTCCTACCAACGCCTACCACTCCAACGGTGCAAAGAGCTGATGACGACGACGATGATGATGAAAGTATGTTCATTGTGTTCTGATCGCTAAATACTGTATTAACATATCTTTCATTAGAAATCGCAAACCAAACTTTCACAATTTTCAGAAACAGAGTAAACAAAAGTATAGAAATAGAACATAACGAACAATGGCAACATTTTACTTGATATTTATATAGATAACTCCTTCCACTTTAAAAACTCGACTTTGTTTCTTATGTATCATTCCGTTCGATTTTATATCAACTATGTATCTTTTTATTGTTACACTGTGAATGATAATAAAGTTAAAAATGCTCAATTTTTATATTCTTAATTAAAATACCATTGCACATATTTCAAACTATTACATTGAAACATACGCACTGTCACAGTTTCGATAAATGAAGCATTGTTTAATACCTACTCTATGGCATATTGAAAAGTAATCGTATAATGTATTCCTTTGCATATGTCGTTGAACTTGGTTACACATGATCTTAAGATTCACGGTTTGAGATTGATGACGTTAAGAACTTTCCCTTTCAGAGATTTCCCTACGGGGAAGGCGTCTTAAGGCTGTCACCATATTGGTACGTATGTTAAATACCCGTGTTGATGCGGCGCGTTCTTTTGATAGATACTTAATCAGAGCCTCGCCAAAACGCTATACATCTCTTAAGCATGTATTAACTTTTCAATAACACAACAGGGAACTTCCGCTATGATGAGATTTAGCAATGTGCCGAGAGAGATATACTTTTTATCGAGTACTCCATCTCTGAGCCCCCGATGCGTTTATTACATAGTACACAACGGTAAAATAGATGGAACTGACAAGAACATCTAGAAAATCTTTATAGATGAAACAGTCATACATTTTTTGTCGGTGATGTGTCACATCCCCTGTGTGTAATATGCAGCGGATGTTATCATACATATTCGTCATCTTATCTCTGTCGAATTTGCAATTGAAACAAATTACATTTTGACTTGTGTTGGAAAACTTTTACCGTTAACTTTAGTATACATCACACATAGTTAACATACCACATACTCAAGGCCACACGTACAGCAAGTAATTTTTATGGATGACATCAGCGCGCGCATTGATTTTCGCCTGATTTTGGAAAAAAAAAGAAGAAATTTTGTTCCCTTTGGCAGTGGACGACATGCCGAAAGTGGGTAAATATGACTTTTGCCATGCCGGAACGTTGATAGCAGATAATTGTTAAGAGAGGGAACAAGACAAGGCTTTGACTTAATTTTTTGTCTTCTACTTTAACTTTGTTGTCGTGTTGTTTTACGTTACGTTGTATGTGATGTTGCCGCTGAATAAAAAGATCTCACTTAACAAGGCTTATGGTCACAAAATTTGGAAACATAGAAAATTTTGCCCCCCCCCCTCGTATCGGCAGATAAATAGGCAATTTCATTAGAACCCGCATTTCTGAATAAAATATGAGATGGCAATTTGACACCAAATAGTATTTTCACTGTTGAAGAAGTGTGAAATTGAAAATTTATCTCAAAAATGGCACTCATATTTCCCAGGTTTAGTACAGGGATCGCAAAGCTAACATGACCAATTGTCTGCCGTTTGATGTATTATTTACTGTCAAAACTATGCAGGTAAAGAAGGTTGCTCACCCCATAATATAACCTCTTTTGTTAAGATGCTTACGGGAAAAAAGACCTATGATATTTAATTCATGGTTTTGGTGTATTCATACGATTGCTTGCGAGACGCCTATTTGGATGGTTTAAAGCAACTTACGTTAAACTGGAATACAATGGTTTTTGACGTAGACTTATGCTCTAGACGTCTGGAAAATGAACGTGCCACTCTCGTTCAAGGAAATGTTTCATCATGATGCTAAATAATTCAAATGTTGCGTTCCTTCTTCAGAGCCAGCGGTATTTTCTTCTTTGATGTTAAGCTGCTTTCAGCAGCCTTCTTGAGAATGTAATAAGTTCAGCAACAACTTGCCACATGATGACGTTGTGGTAATAAAGAGGATGTATAGGTGCTCCTTTGGGACCGCATTTCCCTTACCATTGTAACTTCATCATGCGGCAAAGAGTAGCTGAGTTTATCAACTCTTGATAAATGCAAATAAAGGAATAGCTGTTGTATCCGGCCAGAACCGTGCTTTATCTAGAACCATGCTCACGCACGACTCTAGCTATAGATAGTCCAAGAGTAGAACCGTGCCTGGGGCAAATCTACGTTCTTGGATATATAACTATCCTCACCCTAAGCCATTCAGGCAAAGAACGATTTTGGATATAATAACGTTAGTGAAATAAGGACAGTGGTCGTGTAGAATTCTGCAGAATTCTGGGAACTGGAGCCAGAATTTTGGGAACTGGAGCCAGAATTCTAATTACTGGAGCCAGAATTCTAATTACTGGAGCCAGAATTCTGAGTACTGGAGCCAGAGGTCTGGTAACTGGAGCTAGAATTCTGGTTTTGGAGCCAGAATTCTGCAGAATTGGGTCATCCTCGAAGGGGTCCTCGATGGCTGCTACGTATATGTATTTCTTACATCATCTTTGCCTATAGCTTACGATATTAGCCCATCTAAATGTGCGGTTCGTGAGATATGTCTGAAATTAAACTGAGAGTCGAGAATTAAACTGGAGGCTGTTACTTGTTGCTACAAGACCATAAAATTATAAACCTAGCTACACCTCTGCTGCAAACTCTGCCTTGTCCCCCCCAACGACCAGTGTCGGTCATGGGACTAGGTAGGTAGGTAGGTGTTACTTGTTAACCTGTCCGGTTGCAGGAGGATCCGTATGTGATGAGGAAGGTGACCGATGCAGGGGAGACGTACAGCGGGTTTGTCATCGACATCCTGAAGGAGCTTGCTGGAACACTCGGCTTCAGCTACGACTTATATCTCGTCCCGGACGGGACGTATGGAGCTCCGAAAGGAAACAGCACATGGAGCGGCCTCATTGGCCAGGTCATACAGAAGGTAATATGATCCATATGACAACTAGGTAAGCCATTGTGGGGTCGTGTGGCGTAACGTGCTCGACTCGGAAACAAGAGGTCCCAGGTTCGAGTCCTGTAACCATAAATATTATACCAGTATAACTTAGAAGTCATGATGATCTGATGGTAGATAATGTTTTAGCTTACTTTTAAGTGAGTAAATAAGGTATTTTGACCAATTAGGCAACTAGGTTAACCTCCATTAAGCCTCCCTACGAGGGTAAGCATCGTCTAGTTCATTAAAAAAAGGAAGAATAATTGACCAGAAAAATCATCCCACCACAGGAAGGTTAATTATCTCCCTCGGTGGGGAAATGAACTCTACAGTGGCCAAACTCCCCTGAATAATTATTCTCCTTAAATATCACTGTTTACCGCCTTATTAGTCTGGTGGAGGCTAGAACTGGGTATACTCGTCAGTGTAGTTTAAACTCTATACAAATGTTGAGAAATCATTTTACTGGCAATATAGATCTGTACTGGGTATCCCTTTTCTGATGAAACTAAACTAATTGCGCGTCTTCAACGTGTTTACTACTGATAACATTCCATTCTTCTAGATAAACCTGACGTAAGATATTCATCAAATCTAATGCTATTGATTTCCAATATGCAACGGATTAGTGACTTATATACCAGGATTACACATTCATGTTAACCACGTATAAGCAATATATTTTTGCTAGGATTGACATAGGGGTCTTCTTATCTATTTTTATACTTTATTACTGATTCGTACCTCGATATTTAGTGCTATTGATATCTACGAAAATCAGCAATTGTATTAGATGAGAAGCGGGTTTCTAGATTCAAGCTAGATTCTAGGAACGTTATTGGCACATATAATACTTATATGTCACCGGTCTGAAAAGAAATGATTTTTGAATGGAAACCTATTGATATTTAGATAAACCAATTGCATGACAACAACTCTTACACACTCATGATCATTCACTCACTCATCTCTCTCTCTCACTCACTCTTTCAATTTCCATCTCTTATGGTGATCCGTTCCAAACCATGAGTTTCAAAGCATTTGATCAGTATATGGCTGAAGGACATACATGTTGTTTGTTGAGTGAAGGATGGTTTCGGATTTGATTTCACATTTTCCCGCCAAATGTATAGCCAGACATCTTGTATGAAAGATAGCGTTGGATTAAATTTCACATTTTCCCGCCAAACGTCTAGCCAGACATCTTGTATGAAGGATGGTGTTGGATTAAGTTTCACATTTTCCCGCCTGCAACTGCACGTGGTGCATAGAGCCGACTATGACAACAGCATTTATTTTTTTAACAAAAAAAAAAACTAAACAAAAAATGAATAAAATGTGACATTCCCTATTTCTACAGCATGCAGACGTCGCAGTTGCTCCGGTCACAATCAGCTCTACCCGAGAACAAGTCGTCGACTTCACCAACCCTTTTATGGACCTGGGGGCGGGGCTTCTCATCCGGAAGCCAGAACCAGAAGGAACATCTCTGTTCGCCTTCCTGCTGCCGTTCAACAGTAGGGTGTGGTTCTCCATTCTGGGAGCGTTGTTCGGGACAGCTATCTTGCTTTACGTAACAAGTCGCATCAGGTAGTGTAATATTTGTGAAATAATTATTCTTATTGACTCTCACTGAAGGAATGAGTGGAACAAATAACCAGAGAACATATACTACAAATATCCAGTTCAGTTCAGTTCAGTTCAGGTCATCCTCTTTTGAGGTGCCATGCATAATGTCTCTCCATGTGACTCTGTCTCGCATGGCGGACAGAAGTTCCTCGTCCCGTAGTCCAACCTCTTCCTCGATCAGTTTCTTTAACGTTAGGCACGGACGTCCCCTCCTTCTTTTTACACCCGGTTGCCAGAGAAGCACTTTGGCAGCTAACCAGTTCACTAACCAGTTCAATTACCGTCCCATCGCTAGCAAGTAGTGCCTGTAGCTGGTCACTTGGATTTAAATGCATCATTTTAGTTTTAAAAGAATTAAGGTACAGTCCAATTTCCTGGGTTGCTGATTCCACTCGCTGTAGAAGACTCTGTGCAGCACGAATGGTGTCCTCAAGTAGACAAATATCGTCTGCAAAGTCCAGGTCAGGAATCACAACCGCCGGATACCTGGAGCTCTGTCTCCTCCGCAGTGTAAGACCATCACTGGAGTTGACAGCCTTGCGTAGTGCGTAATCCAAAGTGATTATGAACAGGAAAGTATCCAAGTATCCAAGAAACAATAAATATGTGGGTTTTATAGATACAAAAACTTAATACTAACAAAACAGGTCACTGGGATCGGACATAAAAAAAACATGAACAATGTATATAAAGAATAAACACATATGGTGCTCGTAACTAATTTTTTTTTCATATTTTTTTATTGTCTTTTACTTTTTTTTCTTTCCGGTGTGACCTTGAAGTTTGACCTTATTGTAACAGTTTATAGAAGTATTTTACATAACGACATATTACACAATTTATCAACAAACGTATTTTCTACCTGTACTTCTTGCTATATCATTTGATACAGCATCGCGTATGCAATGTCCCAGGACAATTTTTTGGTTGATGTCCGATGTATTGAGATGCACACTCTATTAACGTCGTTGCATGCCTGTATCCGACAGGAGTGGGGAAGGTTAACTGGGATCATGGCAAGAGCACAAGCCCGCGACAGAAATCGCATGCTATTGACACATTTGACCTTAGGGCCAATCATTTGGATTAAAGAAGTCGACAGAGTGTAAAGTGGGCTTTATACTTGCCAATGTTGAGAATCCATCGATGAAGACTACTAGACCAAACAGAAAGAATAGATTTTCGTCAAAGAGAATAGTAGATATGTCAAGTTGTTACAAATTGCACTTGGTATTAAAGAGGTCGACAGAGTGTAAAGTGGGCTTTATACTTGCCAATGTTGAGAATCCATCAATGAAGACTACCAGAGCAAACAGAAAGAATAGATTTTCTACAAAGAGAAGCGACAAAATGGAAAGTTGTTGCAAATTGCACTTGGTTATTGGCTTTCATGTTATATAAATCGAAATCATAGCTGAAATAAAGAACGGAGGCAAGGTTCTTTGACAACTATAACTGTGATTGTTGAAAATCCATCAATGAAGCTCACTAGAACAAGCAGAAGTTTTGTAAAAAATTTTTGAGGCTTGTTGAAAAATGTTGACACTTTGTCAATGAAGGTCAGTTGATTGCTTTGACTTTTACAAAGAGTCTCAAGAGGTGAGAAAATCGTTGCAAATTGCACATGATGATAGCCAAAGTCCTAGTTGAAATTAGGAACAGAAGCATAATATTATTTGAGAAATGACAGAAAAATCTGTGAATTAATATATCTTGTTCCCAGCTGGGAACAGCTCGCGGCTGACCGCAGTGGCTGGCGACACGCAGTCAAGGTTGGCATAGTGAGAGGACAGGCAAAACGCTGCGAGCAGCTGGAGACTAAGCGCCAGAAGCGTAGAGAGAAACAAAACACAGAATGTCTCAACTTTCCTGTGTCCCAACTGCGGTCGGGACTGTCACGCCAAGATAGGTCTGATAAGCCACTCCAGACGCTGCACACAACGGAAGGACATCTAGAGTGCTACCATCATCTCTCGAGATGGAAGGATGCCTACTACTAATATATCTTGATCCTCAAAGTGCTTAGCATAAGTAAAAAAAAAACATTGGTATCGTCAATCTGTCTAAAAACTCAGTACTTACGTTACCATATTACGCATTTTCATTGTATCGCCATAAATGCACCATCTGGTGCGGGAAGGACTTTAACGTTTTAACTATCATAAATGTATCCATTTCCTTTTCAGATACAAGTGCAACGTTGGGGACCAGTCATACGACAATGATGCCAAGTTCAACTTCAAGAACAGCCTGTGGCTGACATATTGGTCAATAGTAAGAAAAGGTAAGAGCAAAGGAAGATAACTACCGTACTATAGCTCTTCATAACATATTTGCAAAATTCACTAAAGAAATCATGACGAGATTTGTCTTTAAAGATACACCAAAGTTAAAGTACACCGTTCAATTGCTTTGATGACTATACATGTACAATACAATACAATGTCTCGAATATAGGATATCATTTCATGAAATATCCCCATGGGTATTTGCTACTTTTACAATTATGTCATTTCTTTCTATACAATACTGGACAATGCCCCTCACGGGGTGTAACGTCCAGGGGGTCAAAGCCCTGGTGCAACCGGTAATGGTGGTGCCAAAACAAAAAGTGAGGCAATAATATGGCAAAATATTTTATGCACTTCCCACAAATTCAAAAAGAAAAAGTGAAGCTGTGGCCATCAGTGTGCCATTAGCACGCTGATGTTGCAACTACGATTTATGGTGTCATCTGCCATCAGCGCGTCCGCAGATGGTCAC